GAATTCATATTCTACCTTTTTTAGAGACAGGTTTTTCACTGGCCTGGAACTCCCTGTGTAGAGTAGATTGACAAGTCAGTCAGTCCCAGGAATCTTCCTGTCTCTCACTTCACAATCCTGGGATTGCAAGTGCACACTACCACCATACCCAACCATTTTTTGTTTATGTTTTTCAAAACAGGGTTTCACTGTGTGGTCCTGGCTGACACAGAACTTACTCTGTAGTCCAAGCTAGCCTTGAACTCACAGAGATCCGCCTGTCTCTGCCTCTAAAATGCTGGGATTAAAGGTGTGCGCCACCACTGCCGGCTTGCCCAGCTGTTTTTAATTTGAGTTCAGGTGTTTGTGCTAGAGCAAGCACTTTACCAACCGAGTCATCTCCCACACCCTGCCCCAAGGACTTTCTATGGTGCTATGGACTAAGCCAGGGCTTGTGGGTCCTAAGCAGTACTATACCACTGAACTATATCTCCCAGCCACAGAAAGATATTTGGGGCTCAGAAAAAGAGGGGTAGTGAGTGTCTTCTGCCTTCTGGCAGGAACACAGGGTCCAGCCTACTCATCTGACAGTGGTGACCTCTCTCACCTGCCGTGCACCCATGCACCCGGAACTTCCCTTCTCTTATCTCTTCACTGGTCAGCCAGCAGGCTCCCTTTGCCGGCTCCCTCGGGTTCTGACATTCCTCAGGCCTAGGCATGCCTTCCCTGTAATCTTGTGATCTGTCAGCCGTAGCAGCAGCAAAGTCTAATTGCTTTGACTCAGGCTCACTCAACTGTCATATGGCCTGGCAGCCCCAGTTCAGATCTACAGACCCAGATGTTGGACACCCAGGGGAAGCCACCCTGCACCCCCGCCCCCATGCAATCAGAAACAATCGCACAACTGCTGCCTGCCACTGGCCTCCAATCTCCCACCTCCCAGGAGGGAGCCAGGCAAGGCCAACTTTCAGCAGACTTCTGGAATGAATTAGGCTTGGTATGAAAGGTCACAGGGATCACCCAGCCATGGAGATGGCATGCCAAGAGTATCCTTCTGTGTACCCTCCCATTACCTCCCACCCCATGAGAGGCCTGGCTGTCCCCCTACAATAGCTGGCGGAAGTTACGAATAAATGGTGCAGAACAAGCAAGTCACTCAGACATAGCTGAGCGGGAGGTGTCCTGACCCCTCAGTCCCGAAAGGCAGGCATCTGATGAGCACACGTGCTGAACGGAGTGCAGGACTCCTGAGGTGTCCTCCTTGCCACAAGGAACATGCCCCTCTTGTGCTGATGCAGACTCTTAGAAGCCATGAGTTGCAGCACCCCAGGCTACTGATTGGTCCATGGCTGAACCTGACCTACAGATTTAAGAAGCAAGCCAGGGGACTGGCTCCAGAGGCTGTAGCTGTTACCACAGAAATGTGGTGTCTCTGAGGACCCGAGACAGAAGCATTTGGCTCCCCCACCGAACACCTGAACTGAGCCTCACAGACAGAAGGATCGTGCCCATGCTGGGGTGGAGGGCCGAGGCTCTAGGCAGTGTGCCCAAAGTGGACACCAGGGAGACACCATGTCTGGGACCTACACTGGATGGAAGGGTGCCAGGCACAGCCCTGGCTTTAAGGAGCTTGGTCTTGGTAATGACGTGGAAATGACACCAAGTAGGCAGCGGTGTGGATAGGTACCAAGGTGACGCTGGTTAAGGAGGGTGGCTTCTTCTAGTCTATAGGACATCAAGATAGCTACAATCCACAAGGAAACATCCCAGAATGGTAAAGAGGACTAAGAATGTCCCCAACACCAAGAAATTATACATGTCTAAGCTAATAAATATGCCAACGACCCTCATACAGTCATCACATACAGAAATGTTTGCCCACGCCCCACAAACATGCATGAGTATTTAAATTTAGGTAAGGAATGGGGAAATGACTTAGTGAGTATAGCATTTGCCTTGCAAGCACGAAGACCTGAGTTCAGATCCCCAGAACTCAGGTAAACCAGATACAATAATGTGTGTCTGTGACCTCAGTACTCATACATCAAGGTGGGACACAGACAGGAGAATCCCCAGAAGCCCTAGCTCGAGGCACACTGCGGCAATCAAGAGTCTCTGCCTGTCCCAAACACAGCGTAAGGAAAGGACCAACAACTGAGGCTGTTCTCTGACCCCCACCTGTGTGAACACATACACCTCCATCATATGTGCACAAAGGATTAAAACGTATATGTGTTTATGTTCAAGGGGGCAGATTAGTAACAGAGCATTTGCTCAGCATGCAAAAGGCCCTGGGTTCCCTTTCAAGGCTTAAAAAAAATTAAGGAAAGAAAGAAGAGAGGGAGAGAGGGAGGGAGGGAGGGGGGAGGGAACAACAACAAAAAAGGAAAAACAAAAGCCCCCGACAGTCCAAACCAGTTCTGCCAAATGGATGTCTTAAATGCTGGAGGCATGTAGGAAATGAAGGGTGCTTTCGGCCCAGAAGTTTACAAGGGCCTCTTCTGAGCAGGACAGACTGAATAGACCTTGAAAGATGAAGAGGCTCAGCAGACAGGACCCAGTCACACCTTCCCTAACTAAGGGTAGGGATCAGACATTCACATTCCACAGTGTTCTGGGCTGTTTGTTTGTTTGGGTACGGAGTTACTTGTTTTTTGTTTGTTATGTGACAGGGTGGCTCTGAACTCACTATCCTCACCTCCAGAGGGTTTGGAGTATAGGTGTGACCACATGTGATATACACTAACATGTATACAGTAGGATGTGGATAAGTGTCCAAGTTTGAGGCTGAGGAAAACCACTGAAGGGCACAGGGGTTCCTCCCTGCTCCCCTATCCAGAGGTTGTTCCTGACACCTCTCCCACAGACACCTTGCATCCCAGAGTCATTCTATCAACTCCCCTCCCCCTCCCCCCCCTGTGTGCCAGCTCAGAAGGGGCAAGGTGCTCTCAGCTTCTAGAAGGAAACAGACCTGGTAACTGTTTATATTCCATTATATCGGCACCCAGAGGACAGGCCCCAGGCGTCCTCTCCAGCAATCCAACACTCAGTACTGGCTCATAAATAGGAGGGTGCTCACATTTAAGTCCTGATGAAGGGAAACCAAGGAGCCAGACACCAAATTGCTAGGGCACGAGAGGCAGGGGTGGCACTTAGAAGCCACATCATCCAAAGTCACCTCCCTTAAAAGTACCAATTGTCATGAGACAAAAGCCACACATATTCCAACACATACTCAGGCCTCCTACATACACAAGGCATACTTACAACCCACAAATGTACATCTACTATACATTCCACATGTGCATAGACCCAAGACACATAGACACTCCACATACTTAATCCCCCATACCCTACATACCTACCTATTCACACACGCTCACCTCATATATACCAGCCTCCCTTAAAATATACATTCACAAATACACAATCCATGTATATACCCACACACAGAGAGAACAATTTCCTTATCATATCTCTATGAATTTCACGTATTCTCTATAATCTTTCCTCAGCATGTGGGTTTTTTTTTTTTTGTTTGTTTGTTTTTGTTTTTCCCTATGTCCCCAACATTCTTCAGGTTACTGCAGTGGCTACTAAATAAATGGCTGGCAGAGAACTATTTAAAATATTCACTGCAAGTGGCCATCTGTATTTGGAGGGTCTTCTGAGTGGAGCTCCTAGTCTCTTTTAAAAGACCCCCTTTGTCTGGTGTTCTACAGACTGACCAGCTGCTTTCAGTAGCTCCATTTCTTCTCAACCCTTTGTCAGCAGCTGTTTCACACACTAGGGAGGGACTGGAGTCTCAGAAGTATAACTCCATAATTTCATCATCACCCTCACTGTGTAGGGGGACGATAGTGCAAAGATTTACTCCCCACACTCTTACAGGACTGTGAGCTGAGTAAGTCGGAAAGTAGGGCCCTATGTCATTCACCAGTCTCCAAGTCGTCAAATGCTTCATGAAGGGTGGCCATTATGTGATAGAATATGGCCAAGGAACATCAGCCGTTAACCTCAGCCTGCCAGTTCTCCTAATGCTGTGGCAGAAAGTCCACCTGACATTTAATGATTGTTAGAAACGTCAAGCAAATATCAAGCAAGTGATCTCTCCTAGAAGGTAAATTTAGATGTGTTTTATTCAATAAAAGCTTCATGCCAGTAATCCCAGCACTCAGGAGACTGAGGCAGGAGGACTGCCAGGAGTTCAAGGCCAGCTACATAATGAGTTTCAGAAAGCAAGGTATAGAATAAGGCCTTGTCTAAAAAAAAAGAAAGACTTCATTCCAGCTGGCGAAAAAAGCAGGGAACATATAAGCAAATGCAAGGACTGTTTTTAAGCCAGTTTAGCAAGACAGAACATGAGAAAGCAGTTGGCTCACACTTACACATGGTCTAGGTCAGCAGAAGGCAAAAGCCAAATCTAAGGTGCCAAGAAAAGAAAGCTGACAAGAAGTGTAGCTGGGTGGTGGTGGTGGTACACACTTTTAAAATCCCAGCACTCAGGAGGCAGAGAAAGGAGGATCTCTGTAAGTTCAAGGCCAACCCAGGCTACACAAAGAAACCCTGTCTCGAAAAGAAAAACAAACAAACAAACAAAAATTATTTGCCAGGTGGTGGTGGCACATACCTTTAATCCCAGAACTTAGGAGACAGAGGCAGGAGGACTCTGTGAGTTCGAGTCCAGCCTGGTCTACAAAGTGAGTTCCAGGACAGCCAGAACTGTTACAGAGAGAAACTCTGTCACAAAAAACAAACAAATAAACAAAAATAATAAAAGAAAAGAAAAACAAAGGAAAGGAAAGAGTTCTTTTTTCAGAAAGAGGCCTTTCTAAGCATCTATGCCTGATGCTCATTAGAGGGAGGCAGGACTTCACTTGTACCTTTCACTAGCATACTCAGGCTGCACCTAAACTGAGCTAAGGACCAGGAGGATTTCCTAACTACCCTTTAAAATACCATCCCAGAGCTATGTGTTGGTGTCACCAAGAGACGCTGCTTCATAGCATGGCTGCCCCAGGCACTGTGATTGAATTATTTTACTGAGTGGGGTGGGGGGTTGCACTTTGAGCACCACAGCAAGATTCCCATTTCTAAACAGTTAGTGACCAAGTGACATGGACAGAGTGCTCAGGGAGTGCCTGCAGACTGTCCACGAAGTCACAAGTTGTCAGGCTGAATGGGCAGGTGTCCCACAGTGTTTGTGCCACAAGTCGATGGCCTTGCTCACAATAGCGTCTGAGCTGTCCTGAGGAATCTGTGAAGAACAATGGAATCCAAGTGAGATTTCTGTGTTTGTTCCTTCAGGATCCTGTCTCATTCTGGGGCAGACCTGTTTCCATGGAGCTGTCTCTGTTTTTTGAAAGGTGATAGCAGACTTGGAGTGATTTAATGCTCCTGGGGATAGACTCAGTAGCTCTGGTACCAGACAGTCTTTCATTTCCCACTCACCACCTAGCCCTGGACAAATACTCGGCTGCCTAAGGTTCAGCACTGATCTCTAAACAGGGGAACAGCATCCCAACCAAAGTCACTAGCTGTTCCCTGGATGACAGAGGATAGATAGCTCTTGCATGGCACATGCCTGGCACTGTTGGCTACTAATTAGTATAATGATGATGACTCACTTAAAGAACACACTCACTTACCCCTCTTCACATGTTAAAGCTGGTTAGTTAAAGGGGGGGCAGTGGGATTCTGAGTCTGCTCCATGTACTCTAGGCAGGCACAATCCCTTTACTGTTTACCCAGGAGAGAATGTTCTAAGAGGAGGGAGGAGCTGACTGACTATGGCCTTTTTCAGCATGCACTAACATAATGCTTAGGTGCATTAACCAACCCAGCTGGGATTACACCACCAGCAGGAAAAAGCCTAGAGAGCCCCCAACAGCGCTCACTCACACTGCCTCCTGTTCCTGCTGTGCTCACTGGGGAGGAGACTACACACTCACCCCAGGAGTGGAGCAAGGAATGGGCTTGCTGTACAGACCAACATCCCCAAAAGTGACAGGGAGAGAGAAATGCTGTTAAGGAAAAATAACTTTTTTTTTCTGCCAGGAGTGGGGTACTTGATCGTAATCCCAGCACCCAGAGAGCAGGAGAGGAGGGCAGGAAGATTACCAAGAACTGGAGGCAGCCTGGGGTATATAAATAGAGAGTTCCATGTCATCATGAGTTACAGCATAAGTCACAATCGCAAACCAACAACAAAATGCTTTTGTAGAGTACAAATATGCTATTAACGTAACACAATAGGAAAATCTGGCTCCCCAAGCTGCCTTCATTTCCAGAATCCAAATCCAAGGAGATAAAGCACTCACGTTTTCCAGGAACTCTGTTATCTTCTCCACACTGTTCAATGCCATGACTTTTATTTTAAAGGTTAATAATATTTCTACAGCTACAAACACTAGGATCTTACAGGATCCACTGACAACTTTATCCCAGACCCTACAAAACAGAGAGATGGCCAAATTACAGGAGTGCAAAACTGATGTTACCCAGACATCTCAGATTATAAAGTAAGATCAAAGCCCACTCATTTTAAGTCTGGGTCTCAGAGAACAACTGTGAACTAACCAGTATAACAACATGATAGATGAGCCACTGAGAAGATTCTAGATAGGATAGCTTTAGATGGGAAAATGAAGTTAACTTAAGGTTGCTGCTGTGCCTGAATGTTCCAAATGCCTGCTGAGGCTTGATATTGATGGAAAAGAAAGTCCTAACCCAGGGTGTGTATCCTGCCACAGTCACGTAATGCCAGCATGGTTTCTACACACCACAGGGCAGCACAATGTCAGGCGGAGTCATTTCATTGCCAGTGAGCTGGAACAGGCTCTCTAAACGTGTCCAAGGGCTCTTTATGAGTGTGTCCGTGCATGCCTGTGTGCAGGTATACATGCACACATTTTATGAGTGAGTGTGTCCGTGCATGCCTGTGTGCAGGTATACATGCACACATTTTATGAGTGTGTCCGTGCATGCCTGTGTGCAGGTATACATGCACACATTTTATGAGTGTGTCCGTGCATGCCTGTGTGCAGGTATACATGCACACATGTATAAACGCTTGCAGAGGCTCTGGGTGATGTAAGGTAGCTTCTTCTATTGTGTGCCACTTCATTTTTTCAGACAGCCTCTCACTGAACCTCATGCTCTCATTGAACCTCGTTGGCTAGACTAGCTGTCCAGTGAGCACCAAAGGCCTGCCTGTCTCCACAGACACCCCTGCCAGCGCTAGGTGTACAGACACCGCATCAGACCTGGCTTTATATATGGGTGCAGGGGATCCAAACTCAACTCTTCATGTTTATATGGCCAATAACTGTTCCCACTGAGCCCTTCCCAAAACCCAGGAGCCAATCCTTGATTACTATTACTCTAAAATAATCATTTAATAATTCCTATAACTCTTGAAGTTGGTATAGGACTCTGGGCGCTAACTCACACATTTTCTTCTAATGCTCTCTATATACTGACTTCCTCTCTTCAAAACAACACCACAAAGACCTGGGTTGTGGGGCTGGGACTAAGAAACACCCTTAGCACGTGTCTCAAAGTGACTGAAGAAGCAAAGTTTGTCAATGACAGCCTTCAGCTCTTTTGAGAGTGTCATGAAATGTCCAATAAATGCAAAGGTGTCTGTCTGTCAGGAACCAACACCTGTCTAGAAAAGACTCATGCAGGCCCACACTGCGTCAGACATCACAGCATCCACACAGAGGCCCACAGGCCTCATAGGCATGTCAACCACAAGGAGAACCACACTACAGTTACAGAAACTGCTAGGGGATATAGCATTGAACCACCTTGTTCTGAAGCAAACTCCAATTTAGAGGGATGATCACATAAGGGCCAGGAGTTCTTTCCGATGGCAAGCTGCCTGTACACAATGGGAAAAACACATACCTCTGTAAACTGGACTCAGGCAGGCATCCCGCGAAGCACCTTTTAAACCAGAGATCATAAGGAAGTTTGGACACCGCAGAACATGTCTTCAGGTGACTCAGCAGCCTACTATCTTCCAGATTCAAGTACTGTTCGAAAGCCTTGGGCTAAAGATTACATAACAAAGTGACTACTCGTTTCCTGTGACATAGCATCACCTTAAGCTACAATTTATGCTGAATAAATGAGCCCGCCGAGTAAGAAAAAGTGCTAGAAGATAAAACTTGAGAACCACCAAGTCAGTCCTCAACAGTTTTCGGTCAGTACTGACAAGGGTGACCACACTGGAACTGGGGGCTTTCTCAGGATGCAGGATTCTTTCTGTGCTCACACCACAGGACAATAAGCAGGCAAAATGGAATGGCTGTCCCTCTGGTACTGCACTCGTCAGATCCAATAGCTAAAGCAGAGTCCAAAGCAAGAGTCAGATATTATGGAGAGCAAAGAAAGGCCCATGGCAATACTGGGTGATCTGGAGCAGCCAATCATACAAAGAGATAAAAAGGTGGAAGCTGGCTGAGGTGACACAAACGTCTAATCTCAGCATTCGAGACTCTGAGGTACAACAATGGTGTCTGAGGCTAGCCTGGGCTATATAGGACAGCCTGTCTCAAGAAGTCAAAAGTAGGGACTGGAGAAATAGCTCAGTGGTTAAGAGCACTGGCTGCTCTTCCAGAGGTCCTGAGTTCAATTCTTAACAACCTCAGGGTTAAGAGCACTGGCTGCTCTTCCAGAGGTCCTGAGTTCAATTCTTAACAACGGGGGGGGGGATAACAGCCCTCTGTAATGAGATCTGGTGCCCTCTTCTGGCCTGAAGGCATACATGCAGACAGAGCACTTCCTCCTCCTCCTCCTCCTTCCTCTCTCATCTAAGACAAGTAACTCCTAAGACAGGGCTGCAACTGTCTTAAGCGGGCAGCTTCAACAACAGGCACGAAGGCAGCTCCTCCCCTCTGCAATCCCCTTTTAGTTACTTAAGGAAAGGCACCTTCTTTCATTTGGGTAGCCACTTTTATTTTTTTAGCTTGGTAGCAGGGACCTTTGCCCACTGAGCTGCCTACCTGCCCCTTTCTCTCTACATAAGATTGCCAGTATATATGTCTGTGTACCATGTGTGGGCCTCGTACCCTCAAAAACTGTAAGATGGTATAGGATTCCCTGGAACTAGGTTATAGATGGTTGTGAGCTGTCATCTGGGTTCTGGGAATCAAATGTAGGTCTTTGCAAGAGCAACAAGTGCGGTTAACCACTGAGCCATCACTCCAGCCCCGCCCCCAACTCTAAATTCTTAATGAAGAAAATAAAACTGGCTTCTATGCCCCCTGGCAGTGAGAGACCTTATCAAAAGGGCTGGACTCTGGAGAGTCTAGAAGCAGCTTGCGCTGTGCTCCCAGGAAGCAGAACACTGTAACACAACACTCACTGTCACTCAGGAACGCCGCGTTTCCTTTCACTCTTTAATGTTTTAAGTATTTATTCTTAATTTTTTAAAGATTTACTTGTTTTTTTTGTTTTTTGTTTTTTTTTATGTGTGTGAGTGTTTGCCTTTATATCAAAAGAGGGCATCAGATTCCCTGAAATTGGAGTTACCGAGGTAGTGAGCTGCCATTCGAGTGCTGGGAATCAAACCCAGGTCTTCTGCCAGAACAAGTGTTCTTAACTGCTGAGCCTTTCTATCCGTCCCCTTCTTAGGGCTGAGTTGGAGATGGACACCTATGGCTAGGCAGGCATTCTACCATTGGCTCCACCCCCGAACACCCAGCACTGTCACCTGTAGTCTTCCCTACAACTCTAGTGCAGCCTATCCTTTGTGGGAACAGATTTACTTAGGCAAATCACAAAAAGTATAAAAAGATGTCAGAACAAGGTTATAGAAACTTGGCTGTAACAAGAACTGAGGTTCTGTGCTTTGTGGTGGAGGCTGAGGCAAGAAGATCACAAGTTCAAACCATCCTGGGCAACTTAGCAAGGCTTTGTCTCAAAATAAGATGTAAAGAAGAGCTGAGGGTATAACAAAGCCCTGGGCTCCATTTCCAATGCCTCTCCCTCTCTCACCCCTACCTCATCCCCTCATTCCTGCTATCGGTAAAGCTCAGTGGTAGAGCTCTTGCCTAAGAGTTGCAGTGTCGTCATCTGCAAACATGAAGTTATTAATGGAGTACTTCATCAATTGAAATCAGTGCTGTCTGACATGAACAGTGGTCCTGACATGCTAAGCAAGATGAAGAAGAGAGCAGGGTGCTGGAGAAGCCATGCTGTTACAGACAAGAACGAAGGAGTGAAAGCCACTGTGTCTGATATTAGTCAGAGATCAAGACAGACAAGTCACAGCTAAGCTTCAACTCTCTGAGCATTTTATGTTGGGAGAAAAAATTACAGGAGAAGGGTCGTTTTGTTTTTTTCAGATAGGGTTTCATACAGCCCAGGCCAGTCTTGAACTCCTGATCTTCTGCCTCAACCTCCTGAGTTTGGGGATTATGGGTATAGGTCACCACTTCCAGCTAAAGAAATACACTATGTCAGCTGTGGAGTTGGCAAGGGATAGAGAAAATATAAAGTGTGTGAAAAGAAAACACTAACAGACACTACTGTATCAAGTTGCCAATCTTTAAGCAACAAACAGGGAGAGCATACATCCAGCATAATACATACAGGACAATACACAGAAAATATTGATGATGCTTACAAAGGAAAAAGAAGCCAGGTGTGGTGGAGCATCCTGGATCAGGAGTTCAAGGTCATCCTCAGGTATACAGCAAGTTCCAGGCTAACCTGGGCTACATGGAACCCTGCTTCAAAACTTGCGCGCGCGCGCGCACACACACACACACACACACACACACACACACAAGCAAGGGTGTGTTTATTTTCAGTGTGGGGCTATTAGACTTAATTACAGCACATTCCTAGGAGGAAACACTGAGTAAATTATGTAGGAAAAGCCATTCTAAATGAGAGGCTGTCAATCCTAGCTACAATCAGAACTGCCTAAGGCTTTGAAACATTAGCATTCTAGACCCCTAATGAGAGAGTTTGATTTAGCTGGTCTGGTTGAGGATAAGAGGTGTTAAGAAATTTTTCAAATCTCTCAAGCACTAACAGGAAGTCAGAACTGAAAGCCACTGGTTCATCTGAATGAGCCTAGAAATTCTCCAGATACTGAGTTACAAACACACAAACAAAAGATGCTAGGGCCCATGTGTGGAGTAATGCATTTCATGTGTTCATATATATATTCTTGTACACATGTGCCTGCCGGGAGAAACTGACAGGAGCCTGGAGTCCCATCCACCAGTTCTGACTGTCCTAGTTCTGGACTTGATGCTATGTGGGAAGAAGGAAGCTCCTATCATTTTGGCCTTCCATACACACTGGCAGACAAAAGCCCTACCTAAAAGAAGGACCATGCTAGATAAGCCAATGGGTCTGGACCAGGGTCAGGACTACTCTAAAGCCAGTGAGGCTGCAAGTGAGTTCACGCCCGGAGACCAGGCAGTGCTCCAACAGCAGATCTGAATGGCTGCAAAGGAGACATGGGGCCCATTCCATGGGAGACACTTTCTGGCCTTTGTAGAAAAACTCCTGCCAGAAGTAATATATATAATAGAGGGTCCACCCGTTGCAGCAGCAGCGACTGGGGTGACAGTGTCCCTGACACTGCTTATGCCCAATAACCCTCCCATTCAAAAGCCCCTCACCAGCTGAGGTAAGGAATCCCGGAACTTGCTATGCAACTGCTTCACGAAGCACCGGGTGAGCCAGTAACAGTCAATGCTATCCTCCACCATCTCTTCCATGGCTTTGGCGATGGCAAGAAAGACTTCATCCTCCGGCTCCTGAAAGATTAATAGTAAATCTCAAGAGGGAGACAGCAGAAGGGAAGATATGTGTCTTTACTGAAAACCTAACACTGCCCCCTGCATCCTGAAGAGGACGCATTAATAAATCAAAGAGGCATCAGAGGATAGAGTGTGTCCGAAAGGAAGAGAGAAGGGAAGGCAAAGATGGGTAGCTTCAGGAGCCAAGGGAGTCAGCATGGCTGAACAACAGCTGGCTCTTGGGTGGGGCCTGCTGCAAGCACAGGCTAAAGCAGGGTCTCTCTCCACCCAGCCGGTCTCCATGAGAGATCAGGGCTCCTTCAAAGGGACGTGATGACACAAAGCATTTCGGAATGTGTGTCAGTATGAACACTGGGGGACTCTGCAGGCTCACAAAACATCTGATTTATGTCAAAGCCTCCATGTGCAGCTTCAAAATGCTGTTCTACCTAAAAGTTTAAACAGCCTAGAATCAGAATTTTAGGAAGCAGAGGAATGACATTTCTCAGATCTGTTAATATTCATACATGAAAATAAACCTTCCAGTAATTTTCAACAGAGGAATCTTACAAAACTGAAACCCTATTTGGAAAGCTATTTTGTTTTCAAACATTGCCACCAACACCAAAAACCAACCAAACACACACACACACACACACACACACACACACACACACACACACACACTAGCAGGAAACAGAGGCAAACAGATCTCTGTAAGTTCAAGGCCGGTATGGTCTACAAAGTGAGTTCCAGGACAGCCAGGGCTACACAGAGGAAACCCTGTCTCAAAAAACAAAAATAAACAAACGAAAAACCTTACATTTCCATCTAGGCTTTCATAGTTTGATACTTTTAAGATTAAAAGGAAATTAAGAAATACCTTTCTATTCCCCTGAGAAGTCCCAAGTTAAATCAAAATTCCAGTCTTAATAAAAAGCAGTTCAGTTGTAGGCTTTTCTTTCAGCTTGTTGAAATGCAAGGAGCCACAGAGTTAGAATGAAAGGAAATATATTTCTCTAAACATTACTAGAGTGTGAGAAGACACAAAGGAGCAAGGGAAGGGTCTCCAGGGATTCCACAGTCCTAGGTGACCCTGGCCTGGGTGACCCTGCAGATGGCATGTCATTGGTTGCTCCCCATCACTCTGACAGGTCAAGGGGAGACTAATGGTTCCTTCGCCCAACTGTGCTCCCGCCAAGCACTCATGTGCTCTTACCAGCAGATAAGAGTGTAAAAGGGGCAGGGAAAGGAGGGGAGACAGAGACCACCACCCACATTCACACAGCAAGTGCACCTGAGACTGCAGGGAAGGTGCCTGGGCTAAGAGCCCACATGGACCAATGAGTAGGGATGAGTAGGAACCATACCTATAATTTAGATTGCTTACACTAACAGAATAGCTAGCCTTATTCGATGTGTAATTCAAGAACTCATAGCCCTCTCAGTGACTTGGGGAGCTAATACAGGAGGACTGCAGTTGGGCAACTTAGTAAAAGGTAAAATAAAAAATGCCAGGGGGCTAGGGATGTAGCCCAGTGGGAGAGCACTTGCCTTCCACCTAAGAGGCCACAGAGTCAGTCCCAGGACCACAGAGCTCACAGGGTACTATCAATGCCACAGTGCTGATGCTGAGTAATAGGAAAACGAGACTGCGAAACTGTCCTAAATGACACTTAATATTTGGGGCTCTTCTGCCTCTTCACAAATGTAATGAGAAGAGGGAATGACGGCCTTTATTAGTGCTAATTTGACACAGGAACTCTATTATTAAATTCCTGCTTCCTACATACGTAATATACATAATAAGCCATATATAAAATAAGTCGACTATTTTTGAAGCAAAGTCTCACTATGTGGCTGATCCCCAACTCAAGCTGCTCTTCCCTCAGCCTCTGAGTAGTGGATTAGAGGTAGGTGATGCCACACCTAGTTCACAGCCCAATCTTCATTAAAAACAAATTTTGTAGATAATCAAAGCTTGCATGCAAATCCTTGCTTGAAAATCCATTCTATTTTAGCCAAATAAATAAAACCTTCATTAAAATACCTAGACAACTGCAATAAAGTAGCCAGGAGTGGCTGACAGCATTGGTTGGAAAATGAGCCAGAAGCAAATACCTCAGGATAATGGGAACTTTTTAATATCTGCAACTGTCACAGGGAAGGCTAAAATGAACCTGTAATATTGGGTTGGAATTAGATTTAGTATTGTGAACCAATGGTTTTTATTATAATTTAGAGACATACATTCATATATAAGGGCTGGGGTATAACTCAGCAGTTGTGCACTTGTTTGGCAGGTATATGCTATGGATTCCATGCCCAGTAGCACAACATCTATTTTTCTCATATACACATATAGAGAGAGAATGAGAAACTACTTGGCATGTATGAATGTGTATGGATGTATGTGCATGCTCATACACACACACACACACACACACACACACACACACACACACACACATTCTACTTCTGTGTAGTCAGTGAGCCTAAAAGCAAATAGCCCAGAAGACAAGAAACAAAGACTCAGACCAGTGCTGCAGTATAGGAAGTAAAGGCCAACCCTGGAGCATCTTTTTGTGGCAAAATGTCAGGAAACACTCAAAACAGTGGAAGTATCAAACAGCCAAAGGCATCAGATGGAAGAGGCTCCCTACAGCCTGAAGCTGGGGCATTTTGAACATCAAAAGAAAAAAATGTCAATAAAATATTATAGGCCATTAAGTTCAAAGGACTCCATACATCCACAATGACATTAATAAATAAACTCAAAGGGAAACTCTTACAGATGTAGCTAACTAACAGATACAGAAAGAATTCAGGGATTGGAGAACCACTATTCAGCAATCAGAGCAGTAAAAATATTTTAGGAAACCATGATGATGATGATGATGACGAGGACAAGGTGGGTATTTACAAGCCCCCAAATTCCATGCAGGTGGTACACATCTTTTAATCCCAACATACACAGGAGGCAGAGGCAGATGGAGCTCTGTGAGTTCTAGACCAGACCAGTCTGGCTTATATCACAAATGGCCGTCAAGCCAGGTTACACAGTGAGAATCTGTCTGTGTGTCTGTGTGTGTGTGTTGTATGTATATATGTGCATATATCATGCATGCATATATACACACATACTGTATATGTGTGTATATATATATATACACACACACACACACACACACACACATACATACATATATGAGAAAAGCCTCAAAGTTCTTTTCCACAAGTTACTCACCAATTACAAAGAGTAAGCTTACAGGGAAGGGACCTGGCAGGCAGCACCTGTACCAAGCAATCAACGTTACCAGTACTTCTCTTGCTATCCTTGCCAATAAAGTATAACCAGATTCTAGTTATGAGGAGACATCAGGCAAATGGAGAAATCCCTAAGAGACCCATGCTCTCCAAGAGTGTCAAAGTCACAGAAGAGCAAGGAAGCCTGAAGACCAGAGGGTTTAGGACCAAGAATGGCAACCAAGTGCAATGTTGATCGAAGACTGGGTCCAGGGTGAGAGGGGCATCAGGGGACAAGCAGAAAGATCTCAAAAAGGTGTAGAGCTTAGCTCCTAACCTGGTGTCAAAGCTGATTTGTAAGTTCTCATCATCTCACTGCAGCTTTGGAAGACCCAGTATATGAGGATGCTAGGCGCAGGTGTATGGGGATGGTATACTATTTTATAACTTTCTTCTGTGTCCAAAAACACACACACACATATATATATATATATATATATATATATATATATATATGTGTGTGTGTGTATCAATGAACAGGAAACTGTGTGAGCCAAACTTTAATAAGGAAGAGGAGAATTATGTAGCAGTTTCAAATGTCTCCCCCACAAAGGGAAACAGTGATTACAAATAAAGAAAGAATAACTTCCCAGTAAAAACCCAGTGGGCACTACCTTACCAATAGACCAAAGTTAATGGTGTTCCATGAGGCAAAGCCAAGTGAGCTTCCTGACACAGTACTCTGGGGATGCATCACCATGGGTGTCCCTGCCAAAGAGAACAGCCTGTATCACACCAGGAGGGAGCACCAGCAGACCTGAAGTGAGGGGCTTTCTGTAAAATTACTGACCAACACCTGTCAAAGGTGTCAAGGACATAAAAGAGAAAGACGGAGGACCAGTCCAAAGTCAAAGGTATCCACAGCAACAGGGCAACTCAGTGTAATCCACAGTCCAAAATCGAATCTTCCGCTAAACATTTTGTTTATTTGTGATGAAGGGCATCCCTAGAACAACTGGGAAGTTAAGAATGGAGCTTGTAGGCCAGACTGAGAGTCATCACGGTGCTGATTCCCTGGCTTCGTAATTGTGTCATGCTTGCCTATAGATTGCCTGTTCTCCACAAGGAACATAGTGAAGGAGCTGGAGGAACAGAACATCACAACTAACTCTCACTCGCGCGCGGTTTACACAAAGAAGTATTGTGCATAGCCAGAAATGGTGGTGCACACCTATCATCCCAGCACTCAAGTGGCAGAGGCAGGAAGATATTGAGTTGGAAGCTGGCCTTTGCTGCATACATAGGGAGGCTTTGTCTCAAAAGAAGACAAAGGTGAGGTTGGATAGATGGTACAGGCTGCTCTTCCAGGGGACAGGGGTTTGGTTCCCAGCAGCCTCAGGGTTGCTCACAACCGTTTGCAACTCCAGTTCAAGGAAACCCATTGGCATGCAAGTAGGGCACAGACATGCATGTAGGCAAAACATCCATACACCTAAAATAAGATAATTTTTTAAATGAGGGAGGGAGGGGGGGAGGCAGGGAAGAAGAGTAGGAAAGGGTGGCAAAGCAGATGGCATTAAATGTTAACAACTGGAAATATCAGTAAAAAAAGATACCGAAATTCTTGGTAATATTTTTGTGCCCTTTCTTCAAGTTTGAGATTATAGTCACGCATCCCATAATGATATTTTAGTCAGCCATGGACCTAGTCTAGGATAGTGATCCTCTATGATTAAACTGCCTCGTAACGTCACAGTCATCTGAGTTTGAGCAAATATAAATTCATGATGTTTGCAAATGAGCAAACATCTAATGACACATTTCTCAGAATATATATCCATCATTAAGCAATGTGTGACTGTGCCTAAAACAAAACACATTTTTAAAAATAACTAATATTGATCATTCAGGGCCAAAGATCCCAGGCAACACTGTTGCTTTCATTTTTCATTATACCGACAATAGGAAACCACTGAAAAGTGTCTAAGGCAAAACACTGAACAATGGAAGCTAGCAAGAATAAAGTCTTGGAGGTGTGGCTCACTGGTAGAGTGCTGGCCTAGCATTCATGAGGACCTAGGTTCGAGCCACAGCTCTGCAGACACATTAACAGGGAAAAAAGTAGTTTTTAGAAAAAGAGTTGTGTTAAATGTCAAGTGAGAATGAGCACTCACCATCGGAAAAGAGGGGCTTCGAGGCAACTTCCCAGACTCAAGCTGATACATGCGAAGATACACTTCAACCTGAGGGGTGGCGTCACTGATGAAGCGGACTACTGTCAGGGCATGAAGGACGTCAGAGTACTGATCTTTGCGATAGGCCATCACCTGGGCGTGAGAGTCATGGTGTGGAGGCAAAATCCCTACAGAGAGAGAGATGGGACAGGAAAAGGGCAAATGCTGAGACACCCACCCACAACCCTCCTCCAGTGAAGAGAGTCCTGTGAGAAGCAGTCCACACAGCTGAGAGTCACACAAACAATGAGCATGGAGATTCCCTTTCAGAAAGTCTCACGCTAACTCTTGAATGTTAAGAGCTTTGCGAGATGGTGCATCATTGATATTAGAGAGAAATGAGATGGTACCACAAAAGCCTTCGAACAAATAAGTGACCTAATTTTAAGACAATAACCACATCAATTGTAGTAATAGTTTAACTGAGTTCATGGGTAGCAACTGAGGGTACCTTTAGCTCCTGGGACCTCTCCCCACTTCTGGCACTTGGCCTCCAACACCTCAGAACAGTTTGTCTAATCCTTTTCTCCCTCAATAGATAAAACATCCACAAAATCCTATCACTGAGGCAAAAGAAGCCTATGGTCTTCATCGATAAGGTCATCTTACATTTCTGTGACACTCTATGGTCATTACTTACCCATGCTGCCTGCTCATTGGGCTTTAAAATGGAACCGTGTTTGTGTGCATGTGTGTGAAGGGGACGACTGTGTGGAGTCAATTCTCTCCTTCCACCTTTACGTGGGAGGTTCTGGGTAATGAACTCAGGCTGCCAAGCTTGCTCGGCAAGCACTTTCACTCACGGAGCCATCTCATCAGTAAACCTCTTTATTTTTTTATAAGTAAACGGCAGAGTGAAAACAATGGGAGGAGACTACTGGCCAGGTCTTCAGTGATGCTGGGCTCCAGTCTCAGATCGGCTAAAACCAGGACTCTCGCTGGTGTTTCAGTCGATCACAAATGTGGGCATCTGTGTCCTCGTCTAGCAGAGGCAGGAAGTGAGACAGACAAACCCGACACCAAATGTTTCCTGAAGAACCAGAACCCCAAGCACTGGCAGAACTGTAATGACGCATTGTTAATGCTCAGTTTCAGTAGAAACTATTTTTTCCACTTTTGTTATTCCAGTCCTATTAATGTAATGCGGCTGTACCGAGTCGGGGACTCCAGGGTCGAGATTTCTGTGTTTGCTGTCTAACTACAATTCACTGACCCAACAATATTCAGCAATTCTCTCTGTCTCCTGTGCCCCATCTTGACCCCACCTGACAATCAGAGATGATATTACCTAAATCGTTTGCAATGCAGAGACAAATTCATAAAGCACCCAAAAGAGCAGCTGCCACACGCGTGTTGGGCAGTTCATAAGAATGTGAATCCCTTTTGATGCAAAACCCCACAGACGAATTATTCTAAAAAATGTTCCAGGAAATAGCAGTTAGACAAACTTAACAATCCCCAGCCAAAAAACCTTGAGTGTCCTTTCCTGATGTAAACTCAGTGTGTCTGCAGGACTCTGTGCCAGGTTCTCAGAGATGTCAAGGAACACACTACAACGTCCTCCACATCTCACCCGTACAGACTAAAGAGCTAGAGTTGAGCTCTCTCTGACATTTCCCTAAAATGGTACTAGGGAGGAAGAAACCACAGAATCCAAAGCAACCAAGCTAAGGCTACAAAGAGCCCTGTATACTGTGGCAACTCTGCATTTTCAGTGCTTCTAGCTATGGCAGAAAAACAACAGCAGCTTGGAATGATAAAGAAGGTAAGAAAAACCAAGATTAAAAAAAAAAAAAAAAAAAGCCAGCTGGGCCTTGGCACACAGAAAATGTCACAGACACAACATAACATTTCCCATTAATAAGACACACAGGGCATCCCAGAAGAAATGGACACTGATGATAACTGCCTAAAACGCACCCTTAGAAGGAATTTACTTTGATGACTAGTCTTTATGTAAAATTCAAGGGAAAAATGCTCTGAGGAAAACGTGGACAGTTATCATGAACTCTGTAGATGGTCACCACATATACCCAACCAGACACGAATGAGCGCACCAAAGCTGCCAAGATGTTCAACAAAGCCATCTGCAGAGCTTTCTAGAATGGCTTGCATTCCCTTGTGGCCTCCATATTGCATGGCCAGAGTGAGGGCTGCAGATTTCTCAGGCTCTGAAAATACACTACAAAAGGAGCATGTGGTCTGTTATCTAACCCCATCCCACCCCTGCCCTTCAAATGAGCTCTATAAACACAAGCTTTGATTCTTTGTCTGTCACAGACCTTAGGCAAGGTGTTTTTAGGCACCTAGGGACTGTGTCCCTCTAAGATAGCTAAGACTTCCCTCAGAATTCTAGAATGACTGTACACAATTTATGTGAACTATTTAACTTAGTGATGGAGCCCACTCATGCCCAGTAAATAGCAATAGCTCATATTCCTCACAAAGCTCCATCCTCACTCCCATCCCAGTTGGCAATCTCCAGCTGTTTAAAGAAGAAATGGAAGGTGACGATGCATGAGGATTAGATGCTCCAGCAGGCTCAGCAATGATGGGGAAAACCTGGGCTCAAAAAAATGCTGTGAGCCAGTTATGGCAGACACTCAGCCAGTTCTCCTTCTTACTTGGCCATCCAGCTCTGGAATTCACTCATACTTCTAGGCAGAAAAAAAACCAAAACAAAAACAAAAAACAAACAAACAAACAAAAAACCTCTGATTCCTTCTTTAAAAAAACTGTCATATCTTTATTTCAAAGGATAAATGGGAATTTATGTACCTCAGTAAGAGACTGGTTCAGTTAATTAATGAATAAAGATCTGATTCTATGGAAATAGAACACCAGTGAGGAAGGTGTTCTATACTTACTCTTTGACCATTTCACTCTCTACACTCAGATGTACTCAAAGGAATCACATTCTTCAATCCTTTGTCAATATGGTTCCTCTTGTGGGAACAGGGGTGTCCCCTTTTGTGGCTAAGGCTTTCCTGAGACTCACAGTTCAGCCCAGGCCTCAAGCTCGAAAAGATCCTCAAAGGGTTAGGGATCCAGAGACTTGCCACTAAGCCTGGCCAGTTCCTTAGCATCAGGACCTCATACCTCTACCACTAACAGTCCAGGGTACAATGCACTCTTAAGTAGAACCTAAAAATAATTTAGCTCAGGATGTCTCTGGACAGATGGAAAACTGGAGCCCACCGTGGTCTTTCTCCTGGTTACCCAGATGACAGCAAAGATGGCCAGTTCTCCTTTCTCACAGCCCAATGTCATCACTTCTGCAGGTGATGACCACAGATACCCACCAGACACTAAGTGGACAAAGGCTTCATTTCAGGGATGAATATTATCTTCCCTACTGTCACTAATAAGCAGACTCCAAGAGTAATTGTTAGTCTAATTCTGCTGAGGTCACTATCCTAAAAGCTTTTAAAGTGAGCAGTAATTGGCCCTTCTGGAGGAGACCCAAAAGTCAGCAAAGAATCTAAGCAAACTCTTCTCTTCTGACTGTAAGATGACAAAGGATCCCATTCAGATACTTTTGAAATTAAATCCCCTAACTCCCGGGTCTCATACCTAGAAGCACCTTCCATACCAATGCACGGTACATGGATGGGAGAGGGAACCTCTGGCTGAAGGTGCAAAGCTTCTCAATGTCTAAAGGGAGGAAAAGAACAATTAGAAATGTCACATGGGCTCACAGCACCAGAAAGTGCAGTTTCACTTCTTCAAACTGAAAGTCTAGTTCAGATAAGCCTTCAGAAGAAATCCACTGCATGACCAGCAAACTTAGGAAAGGCCATAGTGTTCTCATTTCTAGCCCACATCTTCTACCAACTAAGCTATCTAAAACAGTGCCTTTGCAGCATGGAAATGTATTTTTGCATATATTACTACATTCCCTCTAATATTAGCAGTACTTACTAAATACAGAATTGTGTGTGGTACAGTGTTACTCAGTGGTAGAGCATGACTTAGCAATGTGCTAGACCCAGAGCTGGGTTCCATTCCCAGCTCTGATAACAGCAAGCACTTTACACAACTTTAGTTCATTTTTTCATACTATGGTTCCATTTTAGTGTCTGTAACAATAGACTTTATTATTGTTGGCTTAAGATAAAGTAAGTATAAATATGTAATGAAGGATTATCTTCCACAAAAGAAAATTGTAACTGGAGTTCCTGCAGAGTTTAGCTAGAAACCATGGTGGTACATCCAGAAATTGAGAGGAAACATACAGGCTTAATTAAAAACATAGTATTTACTTCTTTTTAAAAGTGGAGGTGTCTTACTATGTATCCCCGGGCTGTCCTGGAACTTTTCATGCATACCAGGCTGCCCTTGGACTATAGATTCATCTGCCTCTGCCTCTTGAGTGCTGCCATCAAAATTTTGCACCATCACACTCAGCAGTGTCAAGTGTTTAAGAAGCTCTGCAAAACCTTTTGTCTCTCAGTGAATTTGAAAAATCTTCAACTTTTCTCAAATTAGATCACCCTGGCATGTCCCTTCACCAAAAAAATACAGCAAGTAATCAGTACTTCTTTGAGTCCATTAAGGTAATATTTACTTGTAACACCCACCAGGACTAAGAACCAATAAGCTTGAGCAGATAGGACTCACCCAAAGGGTCATCTTTCAGGAGGATTTCCAGTGATTTCTTTTCTTCAACTCCACGAAACCCAACTTTCTCATAGTAGACTGAGCGAAAGTTTCTCTGAGAGTCATCAGTCATATTTCATTCTTAGAGGGATTTTTTTTTTTTAGTGTGCCTAAAGCCAAAGAAAAAAGAGTGGGAAGACATTAAGTGATTTTTCTCTGCCTTTTTAATAAATCAGATATGAAACATTGCTTGCTCCTAAGCAAGGAGCATTAAATTTCTTAATCCACACAACTCTAATCGCACCTTTATTATGCATCTTGGTCAAAAACAAGGTATGAGTCAACTGTCCTCCAAGCTACTAACAGATGGCATAAAATGTAGGCACTGGGGTTCATTCTTTACTTAGGAGAGCCCCTAGCACAATGAAGTATCTTGTAGCCATTATAAACTTGTGAATAGAAAAGATGAGTGGAAAATGGGCACGTTACATTATGTAAAGGAGGCTAGCCAAGGGTATGTACTCTGATTCTGCATTAAGTTTTACAACTAGGATCTCACTATGTAGCCTGGGCTGGCCTCAAATTCAGATCTGTACCTGTGCCTCCTGAGTTCTGATAAGAGGTGTGGGACACCACTCCTGGCCCAAGATAAGCATTTTTTTAAAAAAAAACAAGGAGACATCCAAAATATGAACAACAGTTATCTTCAGGTTAGGAATCTAGTGACTTCCATTTTCTTTGTTTTGCTTAGCTGTGCTTTCTAAAATGAGCATTTGGGGGAAATTAGGAAGAAAAAAATCTGCCCTTGCCCTTATTTTCGTCTTCTAGTGTAAACACAATTCTGTCAAATGTAATAATCAAAATTCAAAACCTACAAAAGATAAACAGCACTAAAATATAACCAGAAGACGGTTAATGCAGACAGATGACAAGTGACACCACAGTCAACTGAAGGCAGAAAACCGAGGTAAAACCCGGCATTTTAATCGTCTCAGAGGCCCATCATTCCTTCTGAACAGTTTTCTTGATACTGATGGCAAACCAAGAAAGCATCGAAGTAGGTTAGTGAATCAGGCACTAAAGATACAAACTCTCTTCCAAAGAATAAAGTCCTCGGCTACTTAAATGCCCCGAGACGTCCCCAGTGACCAGGGGAGGATGGATTTCTTCTTTGGATCGGGAAGGTATCATCTGAACAGATTCTGTTTCAGGAAAGATTATAACTCATTTTCGAAAAAGCAATTTAGAATTGCTTTTAAAGAGTTTCCGCGCTCTCTTGATAGCTGTTTTTAAAAATCCAAAGCATTAAAATGCAAACTCTGGAATTTTTTTTTTTTTAAGTCATTCACGGCCCCTGTTGTTTCGGGACAGCTTTTCTGAGACTGCACTGTGATAGCAAAGGCGTCGCCCCGAAGGACATACTGCCAATTCCTGCCCAGGTGCCTCCACCTGCGGGTAAGGTGCCGGCACCCGGTGAAGCCCCAGACCCCGCTCTCCCGGCTTTGTACGCTTCACCTCTAGCAGTGCAAACGCACCCGGGTTCAGACTAAGAGATCCGGGGAGGCAGCGGAGAGCAGGCCCGGCACGCTGAGCCACAGGCGGGCAGGCGGAACCACAAGCGCCGGGGCGGAGCGAGCGAGGGGAGCGATGCCGCGAGACACCCACACCGGCTCCGGCCTTCCCGTTCGCTGCTATGTCCCGCCGCCGGACATGACGTGGCACCCAGTGCTCATGCGCAGAGGGCACCTGTGGGAAGCTCCACCCACACCCGGGCACTGGAGCGGTGAAGCCGGGAAGATCTGAGCTGTCGTAGCCCGCTGAGGTTCTGTACGTCCTTGTGCTCCAACGTCTGCCCCTCTCAGCTTCAGGCATTGACTCTTGGTGCCGAGGGCTCTGGCGGTCGTGTCCCCCTCTGTTCGGCCATGCGTGCTTAGGGTGCTCTTCCTTCCCCGGCCGCCGGGGTCCCATCATGTGGGGAGCGGTATCTCTCAGGCCCTGTTCCTTCCCTTCGCTGGGTGGAGAATCGGAGATAAGCCCTTGTTTATTGATAGCAATGAGAGTTGGAGAGATGCTCTTCCTTGGTTCCATTGCTGGTACCCACATGGCTGCTCACCACCGCCGGTAACTCGAGTTGCAGAGGATGAAGTGCCCTCTTTAGCTTCCACGGACACCAGGCAAAGCCTGGAGCAAGCCATAACATACGCCATCTCCTTTTCTTACCTCTATTAGTGATGCAGTCACCAGAGAAGTGTTGGAAAGATTACTGAGAGGTGTGGCATGTGGTGGCTGCAAATTAAGAGCTAACTCCCTATCACTGTAGCTTTGCTGAGCTGATGAAATGAGTGTTTGGAAGCTCCTAGAGGAGACGAACTTTAAGGCTGTTTTCTGGTTTTGCAAGGTGGCCTTTTAAAAATGCCTCGTATCATCGCTCCATCGTTTACTCAAACACAGCAACGCTCACAGTGGCATCTGAAATTCTTCCTGGTTTGCCCTCTAGGCTCTGTCCCTTTTGTTCCGGTCTTCTCTAGTTAGTTCTTTTGTCTCTAACCATTTCAGAAAACCAAGATCTAGCTCATCATCTCAGTCTTTTTTGGTTTTCTGAGACAGAATTTCTTTGTGTAACAGCCCTGGCTGTGCTGGAACTGGCTTTGTAGACCAGGCTGGCCTCGAACTCACAGAGATCCATCTGCCTGGCATTAAAGACATGTGCCACCATACCCAGCTGCCTCAGTCTTGTTCGGATGTCCCCACCCTGAGGCCGACTCCCTAAACTGAGTCATCTTTACCCTTTAGTCTCCATCCTCCTGGACCCTGGTCGGATTTTTCTTCCACAGCTCTCATTATCTTCTGACACTATTTAATTTATTAGGCTGCATCCTCCCATCAGAATAACAGTTCCACAAAGGTCAGGAATCTATGCTTTGCTAACAACATCCCATGAACAGTGGCTGAAATACTGTAAGTGCTTACTGTGGATACTTAGTGACTGAAAGGAACCCTACACAATGAACGGGTGGGCCCTCTTTATTAACGTATATTTATTTGGGCCATGAGCTGTACAAAGTCACTGCTAGTCATCTTACTCCTGCTACAACACAGGCTTGAGCGGCCCTTGATGGCTTACTTGGTCTGTATTACTTCATCTAAACCTATAGGAAGTTTGGTTTGTTTTGGTTTTTCGAGACAGGGTTTCTATGTGTAGCTCTGGCTGTCCTAGAACTTGCTCTGCAGGCCAAGCTGTCCTTGAACTCACAGAGATCTGCCTGCCTCTGCCTCATCTAAACCTGTGTTTATGGTTAAGATGTCATTTGGGAAGCTGTAGACCTAGAACATCGAATGTCATGACATATGAAAGGAACACACAATCTTTTAACGTCATGACAAGTAAAGCAGACAGGCAATACAGTTTGTGTAATTTAATTGGGATAAAAAGTACTTTTTGAGTAGCAACTAATAATTAATAAATACAATATTATCAAGCCACGAGGATTGCTATTATAGTTTAAAGTAAGGCTGTTCTCTGGAGATTGACATGTTAAAGGTTTGGTTCCCTTCTTGATGCTATTGAAAAGTGCTGGAAACATTTGAAGGCTGGACCTAGCAGGAGGTTTTAGGTTACTGAGGGTATGCTAAAGTAAGCCTTTCTTTTGGCAAGAAGTTCGTTTATCCCATGTCCTTGTTGCACTAACAGATGACAACATACTTGGTGGCTACGTAAATTCAGATAATTTGTACATCACCTCTCATCTCCACCCTCTGAAGACAGCAGATCCTGGATGGTCACAAAGCTCGTTTTCCACCTTCATTTTCGTCATCTACCAGAAAACTGGATCTGTGGATCTTGTTTAACCCAGGCAAATAGGCAGAAGCTGTGGCAGCACTCTCTGGTTGGGACCTCCAACCTGCAAATAATGATACCGCTGGCCCGAAAATAACGACATGGAGACTTATTATTAACTATGAAAGCTTATCTTAGCTTAGGGTCTCTAGTTCTTTTTAAAATTTTATTCATTTTTATTTCATGTGCATTCTTGGGGGTTTTGTTTTTTGCCTGCATGTATGTCTGTATGAGGGTGTTGGATCATACAGAACTGGAGCTACAGACAGTTGTGAGCTGTCATGTGGGTGCTGAGCATTGAACCTGGGTCCTCTGGAAGAACAGCCAATGATGTTAACCTCCGAACCATCTTCCCAGACCCCCTATCTAGCTCTTATAAGTTAAATTAACCCATATTTTTAAATCTACATTCTTCCACGGGGCTCATTACCTCATCTCAATACAGCCCACCCTGCTTCCTCTGAGTCTGACTGGTAACCCTGCCTTTCTTCTTCCCAGAGTTTCACTATGTGTCCAGAAGTCCCATCTATAATCTCCTGCCCAGCTATTGGCCGTTCAGCTTTTTATGACACCAATCATGGCAATACATCTCCACAACAAGAACCAGCTTGTCACTGTAAATATGGAAATTCTGCTGGGCACGGAACTGTTGTTCTCTATGGGACTTGTTCTCAGTGCTTTCTATCCTGTGTGCCTGGTCCAAACTATGTATTTTAGACTCATAATGATAGCTAATACTGTCAACTTGACAGGACCTAGATCACCTAGGAGACAAACCCTGGCCCTGTCTGTAGGAGTTTCTAGATTAGGTTAACTGAGGCAGGAAGACTTCTCTTAACTTTAAGTGGTCCATCCCATGGGCCTGTGTCCCAGGTTGATGCTGTGATTTAAATGTGAAATGCCTCATCATCACTTCTTGAATTTGAATACTTGGTCTTCTTGCTATCATTTGGGAAGGCTGTGGAACCTTTAAAAGGCGGAATGTTGCTGGAAGGTGTGAGTCACTGGGGGGAAACATTGAGTTCCTGTTTACTTTTGACTGGATCCAGTGTGACCAGCACCTCCTCCCACCAGGCTTCTCTTATGGTAATGGGCTATATCTGCCCTCGAATTGTACGCCATGACAAGCTCTTCTTCTTGTGGGGTATTTTTATCAGCAGGACAAGGAACTAGCATAGCTGCAGTGAAGCACTGTCTCCTTGAATGATGGGGAAAGTACCGGAGAGAAAGTCATGCCTGGGATGGATAGTAAAGAATTGTGAGGGCTGTGAATGAGGGCAGCTCAGTGGTGAAATCACATGCTGTGCTGGATAGTTTTAAGTCAACTTGACACAAGCTAGAGTTGAGGGAAGGACCCGCAATTGAGAAAACTCGGCTGCAAGATCCCACTGTAGGGCATTTTCTTAATTAGTGATTGATGGGGGAGGGTCCAGCCCATTTTGGGTGGGGACATCCCTGGAAAGGTGGTCCTGGGTTCTATAAGAAAGCAGGCTGAACAAGCAATGGGGAGCAAGCCAGTAAGCAGCACCCCACCATGGCTTCTGCGTCAGCTCCTGCCTCTGCCTCCTGAGTGCTGGGATTAAAGGTGTGTGCCACCACTGCCTGGCCCCCAAGTTTGTTTTTGGTCATGGCCTTTCATTGCAGCAATAGAAACCCTAACTAAGATACATGCTTAGTATGCAAAAAGAGCCTGGGTTCAATTCCCAGAGCCCCCTTTTAAAGTATTCACTAAATCATAAAGGCAGGAAATGACAACTTGGACATGTGTGTATGAAGTAGAAATCACAGCATATTTGAAACTCCATTCCAGCCTGGGCATGTCATGAGGGACAAACAAAAGGAGAAAAGAAAGAGCAGGTTTGAGACTTGACCATGTTTGCAGTTGTCGGTAGGCTGGGCTGAAGGTGGTAGCATTTGCAAGCAGTGCCTAGAAGCAGCTGTGGATTGTATGCCCACATCAAAGTGAAGAGCTGAGGTGTGGAAGCACTGTGAAAAGTGACATCTAGGATGTAGCACGAATTCTGCTTAGTATTAATAATAAAAACACAGGCAGAGATTGGGGCTAAAGCTGAAGATCAGAGAAGCAAAGCAGCCAGCCACTACAGAGTTCTCACCTCTACCAATGCTCAGACCAAAGGGGTGATCCTGTCCTCAGGCTGCATCTCCAGACTGCCTGCTCCTCAGACTGCACTGCCCCTGCGTCCTCCCGCCTTTTATTCGTCTTTAGTGCTGGCATTAAAGGCGTGGGGTCCCAAGTGCTGAGATCATCTTTGTGTGAGCTCTGTTTCCCTTTTATACTGTAGTTCAGGGTGGCCTTGAACTAACAGAGATGGGTCTGCCTGTCTCCTGAGTGCTGGGATTAAAGGTGTGTGCCACCACTGCCAGGCCTCTATGGCTACCTTTGCACTCTGATCTTCAAGCAAGCTATATTTGCAGGACCATAAAATATCACCACACTGGGATGCTTAATCAAATCTTGAGCAAAGTGCATGCCCCGCAGGGAATTCCTTCACAAAGGTAGGATTTTACCATTGCTGGCCTCCCCAGGAATCCAGCTTCATGTAATTCTCAATGGAAGCAGCAGAGGGCAGCAACAGCACTGTTAGGATACGCTTCATCTTGTCAGCTGAAGGGAAAAACTTCATTACCAAGGCAGACTGGAAATTGTCTCCAGCCAGTAGTGAATGTTCCAGATGCTTAAGGGAAAGTCCAGACCAAAGGGGTGATCCTGTCCTCAGTCTGCATCTCCAGACTGCCTGCTCCTCAGACTGCACTGCCCCTGTCTCCTCCCGCCCAGTGCACCGCGTATCCATCTTCAGCTTGCAGGTAGAGGCTCCTGAACA